CCAGTGCCCCGGGCATTGGAGGTGCAACTCAGGGTATTGAAAAATACTCTGTATCCAGAAGATCTCACATTTTTCAAAACCACTATGAGCATTGCCTTCAGTGGGACAATTAAAAGCCTTGATTCTTTAGAAAGACAACATGTAGAGGCATGTTCTCTCTGCTCATTACTAATGCCCTTTGTTCAATCTGCAGAGGCAGTGTGCAAAGCTTTGTGTGGCTGAAGCTTCCAGTGTTCTAATGCCGACTAGGTAACTTTTGGCTTTTTTTTTTTTTTTTTTTGCTAGCCATTTGCCTTTGTCTGCTGGTCTGGCACACTTCATAGTAATTGCCACTCGCTGTTTGAATCAGTGTTCTCATTGGAGCTCAGGCCATTGCTTAAAGCATAATAAGAATAAATCAAATTGGTAATGTAGGCTCTGATGTTAAATGTTTTGAGGCTTCACCCCATGACAACAACACTGGAATTATTTAATGAAAATTTTGCTTTGGGTTTCTCTGTTGGTATGCACGTTCATTTAGCAAGAAGGAGGTTCTGCTACTGCAAAGAGGTTCCAGTCCTCTTTTTTTTTTTTTTTTTTTCCCCCCACTTATGTTTTTAATATTGATTCCTGGGAGAGAAAGACAGACCTTACCTTGTCCCATAGCTGAGCTCTTTAGAAATGTCATGCTGTATATTTTGTACTGGCCTGAATCAGCCATGTCTGTATCTACAGCAGGCAGTAACTGCTAAGCCAAAAGAAAACCTTTAACAAATACCAGTTTAGCCCACCATTTTGGGGTCACATCACTGGAACACCTTATAGACAGCATAGACGCAAACATTTCAGGTTTAATTAGCCATGGCACACTGCCTGAATGCATATATTACTGAAATTGCAGTATAGGTTACTTTGGATGTGCCAGTTTATTTTTTCCCTATGGTGGGTGGACTTCTGGTTATAGCATGAAATTTTATCTTCTTTTGTTAGGCCTATGTACTGGCTGGGGCGGAGTTAATTTTCCTCATAGCAGTCCACATGGTGCTGTGTTTTGGATTTGTGACTAAACCAGTATTGATAGCACACCTGTGTTTTGGCTGACACTGTGCAAGCTCCACTCAGCAACAGGGCTTGCCTTCTTTCCACGCACTTCCCAGCAAGTAGGCTAGGGCTGTGCAAGAGGCTGGGAATGAATGCAGGTGGGACAGCTGACCCAAGTTGACCAGAGGGATGTTTCATACCATATAACATCACCCTCAGCAATAAATTCTGTGGGAGTAGGGGGAGTTGGTCTTGCAGGTAGCCATTGCTCAGAGGCTGGCTAGGCGTTTGTCTGCTTCTGGGAGATGGGGAGTGAGTGAGCAACTGGCTGAGTGCTTAGTTGCTGGCTGGTGTCAACTCACCACGGACTGTTACAACTGCTGTACCCAAGAACAGGATCTTGCATCTTTCAGCACCAGCTGAGCATTTGCAGGCATCCCTGAAGTGAGGACAGAGCATCCGACTGGCTTTGGAAAGAACGTATGTTATGAGAGTAAGGAAGAATAGTCTATGGGAGTGTAGAGGGAACTACAGAAAAATAGTATTGGGTTTACCATAATAAAGGTGAGAGAAGTATGATTTGAAGTTGGGGGGGAGGGAATAAAGACGAGAAAATGGGAGTACAGGGAACATCGTACTATTTTATGTTCTTAAAAGGAACTCATAGAAAAAGTATTGAGAAATATGATAATAACCTATCCTCGTAATAGGTGTTTTTAGCAACTTGGAGAAATTCATAGGTGGTTTCATTACTATTAATTAATTAATTCATCTTCAGGTGAAAAAATTTAGAGAGACAACATAAAAATTGACAAGGTTTTTTTAGCAGCTAGAATTATTTACTAGCTGGTTTATATCCCATGAAGGACCTTCTTTTCTGCTGTAATTAAAGAAGTCATTATGATTCCTACTACCAAAACCAAGGAGATAGTTTACATAGGTACACAAGTACTACTTAGCATGCCTTCTTTCAGACTAGAGATTTCCATAGTGAAGTATTAGTTGTGAAATTATAGTTGAAGGGGGAGAATCCAGGGAGCACCCTCCAAGAAAGACAGGGATGACATAGGAAAGGAAATGCAGAATTCAGAAATAAAATCACTTATTGCTACCGTATTTTCACAACTATGACACATATTTTGATTTTTCTTAATTTCTTTAAAATTACAGGTCTATAAAAGACTACCTTCAGATAACCTTGTATTTTATCTGTATTGCAGTTTGTTCCTGGGAATATGGTATATCTTACTAGGAGTTTTCACAGAATGACAGAATTGGGATTGAAAGGGAGATTGAAGATTGTGTAGTCCAACTGCACTGCTCAAAGTGGGCTCAATTAGAGAGTGTCTCTCAGGACTGTGTCCAGACTGGTTTAGAATATCTCCAAGGCAATATTTCTGGGCAACCTGTTCCACTGTTTAACCACCATCACAGCTTGTTAAAATGGAATTTCTTGTGTTTCAATTCATGCCCATTGCCTCTTGTCCTTTCACTGGGTACCACTAAGAAGCGTCTGCCTTAATCTTCTTCAAACCTTCCTGTCAGATACATCTACACATTGACAAGATCTCCCCTGAGCTTTCTCTTCTCCACGCTGAGCAGTCACAGCTCTCTCAGCTTCTTTCCATGCATCAGATGGCCTTTAATCATCTTTGTGGCCTTTTGCTGGACCTGCTCCAGTGTGTCCATGTCATTCTTTTACTGAGGAGCCCAGAACTGGACCAAGCATTCCAGGTATGACCTCACCAGTACTGATAGAGGTGAAGGGTCACCTGCCTCACATGTCCTTCTGGTAGCGCTCTTCCTTACACAGCTCGGGATGCTGTTGACCTTCAAGGGCGTGTTGCTGTCTCATGTTCAACCTATTATCCACCAGGACCCCCAGGTCCTTGTCTGCAAAGCTGCCCTCTAGCTGGTCAGTCCCCAGCCTGTACTGTTGCATGGGGTTAGTCCTTCTCAGGTACAAGACCTTGCATCAAAGCATACCTTCCAATATTCAGCAACATTTAGGTTGGGAATTCTATCTTCTGCTTTAAAACCAAAATTTTAAAATATATCTCAAAAAGATATGCTTTGATTTTTATTGTATTTTATCTGTCAAGGTTTCATACTTTTTCATAAGCGTGGAGTCCTTATAGATAGGATATTGAGCTGGGTGCTCTGATCCAATTCTTATGTTCCAAAAGCAATTAAACAAAAAAGAGAAACTCCACAGCCATATTCAAGAATCCTCATGAATATACACACTATAAAATGTGATTTTTTTATTTTTTTTTTAGTTTCAAACTTTAGTCTGTACATTCATGACTTTGGAAGATAAAGCAATGGAATATTACCTTAAACCAAATATCTGTACTTCAGTGGTGGCATTTTTAAATGGATTTTTCCATGTAGATGAAAATTTCATTTGAATGTCCTAGCAGAGGCTGCTTATGGTAGGTCTCGTGTATTTTGTCATTTATCCCACCACTATCCTTTCTACCTAATTTTATTTGCTTATCGTTTGTTTTATTTTTTTGCTGTACCTTGTGTACCAGAGGAGATGTTATAAGCATTCTCAGCAATCAGTTTTCTCCCAAGTGGTTTTTAACTGTTGGAAACAGGTTCTTTTGCCATTTAAAGTCATCATACTTAACAGAAGAAATGGTGTATCTTCATTATGGTTTCAGTGCTCTTTTTGTGGATTTTTCTTCTATATAATAAAAAAAAAATAGTTGAACTGTCATTTCTTCGGTGATTTGAAAAGTATTGAGAACAAATCAATGTCAGGAAATAGTTAAAATAAATAAAACTCTAGAGGACTGAAACTGAATAAATCAAGTTATATTAAAAAAGCAACAGGGAAAAAAAATGTATTATCATCTTGACTATTTAATCCTTGGCCACAGTTGTGTGAATTTGCAGGTGTTAAATTATCCAGAGAATGGCTTGTGAATTTTTGCTATTGTCAGTAGAAGCATATTGGGAATTACATGGAAGAAAATAAGCATTGACTAACAGACTACAAATTTCAAATATGTATTCTGTAGTTCTTATCAAGGCTGATGTGAATGCAAAATACGATGCTGATCGGACTTAATTTATGTTGTGTTTTATGACTGCGATCAAACAGAAAATAAAAATAGCAACAAGAATGTTTAGTCATATTATTTTCCATGAACAGGAAACCTTCAATGAAATTATTCTGTTAATGTGTTAGAATGAATAGATTAGTTTGGGGTTTTTTGTTTTTGTTTTTTTTTTAAAGTAATATGATTTGGATTGCCCTATGTCAGATTTGCATGAAATATATTGGAGTACTTTCACTATTAATTTGCCCTGAGGTTATAAAAGAAAATTGTATGTAATGTGCTGTCATATGCTCTTGTGATTAACTTCATTTACCGTTGTTTTATGTTTTTCTGAAATAAAAAAATACCAGTGGATTTGTTGGTTTTGTTACATGTTAAATCTTTTATTGCTTTTGAACTGTGTTAAATTTGATTATACAGAAGTGCTTAAAATCCTGTTTTCTAAAGGAAAGATGTATTTTTGTCTCCCTCTCTCTTCGGACAACCTGATTCTGAGTTGCTTTACCAGCCTATTATTGTATAATTTCTTCACATTTCATATGGAATGTCTTATTAAGTCTGTGTCACTTTTTTGTTATTCTGTGATATAAACTCAAAAGCAGACTGAGCTGACCAGTATTATCTTTGATTGTTCAGTGTACATGAAAAATCTGTTGGGAACCATTCCCTGTTTGCGTAAGGCTGTGCCTCTTGAGTGGCTAAAAAGGATATAAAAGAGTGTTCCTGACCTAGTTATGTCTGGTTATTTTTCAGACATTTCAAGTTTTTTTTTGTTTGTGGTATTTGTTTGGGGTGGGTTTTTTTTCTTCTTTCCATTTTGAGATCTCCATAAACACGTTTGCCTTTGTCTTCCTCTGCATTACTGGATTTCTGACTGATGAGGCATCATTTCAATGTGTCCTTCTGCAGGTTGTTAAATGTGCTATGCTGTGAGCTCAATACCCTTTTACTCTTGGAGACTCAGTATAAGGTGTCACGAGTTTTACTAACTGCTCAGGAGGAAAATGTCACAGAAACTTCGGAAGGACCAGGGTAAGAAGTGACTGATCTACATGTTGTTTTAACTGTCAAACTTTTCTCCTGCGAACAAATACATGACTACCTTAGTGCTTTAAACATACAAATGCTCTAACTCAAGTTGGCTTCTAATCTGCATAGGTTTATTTACATGCAGGTTTATCATCAATATTAAATTATTAAAAGATACAACAGTCTTGTTCTTTCTCCCATATCCACCTCAAAAGTGTAAGAAATAAAAAAAGCAAATATTTTTATGTTAAGTTATTCCTTTAAAAAAAAAGTGCAAAATTTGATGTAAGTATGCCTTTTTATTTTATAATGTTCTCTTACGTTATAGATATAAAATATAGAATTAGGGTATTGTTTTAATGTTTATGAATTAAAGGTCATCAATACTTTGAGGGGTTTTTTTTTTTTGGTTTGGGTTTTTTTATGTATTTATAACTTAGTCAACTCTCCAACTTCTGTGACTTTCCATCGCTAACTTCTAAATAAAATTGCACAATGCATCCTTTCAAAAAGAAAAAAATGCATTTTTGGGGCAGAAGTGGACAGTCATTCAGTCACAGACGTTTTGTCCTTTCTCTCAGCATGCTGAATTTTAGAGAACTTTCTTTCCTCTTACTGTTTGCTATATGGGACCAGTAGAGAGTTCAAATCAAACAGTTTGAGTGAAATCTCAGCAGATATAGATGACTGTTGTATACCACTTGAGGATGAAACTTACTATTTCCTTACTAAGGAAAAAGTTGTAAGAAACTTGATGTATAAAACCTGATTTTTATTCCTTTTAAAAAAATTGGTACCTTGGGCTACACAGTGACTTCAGAGAGCAAGTTGGCTGTGTGTTAAGTTATGAATAACTCTGCTTATTTGTGACAGCAGAAATTTGCTGGTAGGCCAAATAAGGACCAAATTTTGATGATCCATTAACTGTCTCTGCCCTAATTACTGAGCACGTGGGCATAAAAGAGCTTGTGAAGCTTTCTACTCTTGTGTGTTCAATAACTGTTTGGATGGTTCTAATCAGCAGTATGTAGGGAAGTACAAAGTTAGGATAATGCTTGGAGACATCTCAAGATACTTCATGTTTCTGTTTTTCTTTACACCTATGTGTTTTCCAGGTTGTGTTTTAGCTCCGGTATGTCTCTGAAGGTATCTTTGCTCATTAAAGTTTTCTGAATTAAAAAATCAGTAAATCACAGGGATTCTGATTCTTGGAGTTTTTTGGGTCTTGTTCTTTTTTTCCCAGGGATTTTATAATTGATGGTCTATCAGTGGAGAGAAACCATGTTCTTGTAAGAATAAATCTGATTGGAGGACCACAGGAAAGGATATTGCCTTTGAGAGTGCTAGATAAGGTTAGAATTGAAGTTTAACAGTTTCTCTTTCTATAACTCCTGTCTTCATTAATTGAATGTTTTTACTGATAATTCAGCATGTGGAAAATTATTTAACATTAATACCAGTCCAACTTTAGCTTTATAAAGGGCTAATTTTTTTAAGAAGTGATACGCTGAAAAAATACATTGTTCCCACTATCAGGGATTGGCATGTGCCTAGGATGTATCAGTTTCAGATGACATGTTTGTATTGCTCCATTTTAATGTTACTTTTACTACTATAAAAGTGAATGCAGTTTGTCTGATTTTTACTTATATTTTTCTGTGCTTTCTTTATTAGCTTTCCATTTGTTATATCACCCTTTTATTTGATTTTTTTTCTGTGCTTAGGTTTTCATGTCTAGTATCTAATACCTCGAGCTTTCATCGATGTTCTAACAATACAGTGTTTGTTAAGTACCTCCTTTAAATGTTCTGCTTCTTGCTGGCTGTCAGTCTCATAAAGACAAAGTCTTTGCTGTGCTGACAGTAATTTGTACATCTAGATCAATGTATAAAATTGGAAATACAGCTTTGTGGGGTTTTTATGTTTATATAACTGCAATTTCCTTTTTGGTTGAAAAAATATAAAAACAAAACTGTCAGTGCTATATACTGGAAAAACTTCTGGCTCAAATGCTTTTTGGATTTTGTATCCTTGAACTTTTTTTTTTCCTTCTTAATTACAGAGTATCTCATTGCAAATTGTATTATCAAGCATCATTTTGGTGTGTGGGCAATAACTCTGGGAACTTTACCTGCGTGTTAGTCTAGCAAATGTCATTAATTCTTCTTCTAAATGAATTTCTTTCTGGTCCTGTTTCTAGGGCAGTGATCCATATCCTTGGCCAATGTTTTCATCATTCCCTTTGCCAAAGTGCTATCTTGCAGAAATTCCTAGGAGAGCTGAATTCAGACAAGGTATGTACAAAGCATGCAAGCAGTGTAGATGTCAAACAAGTATCTCTGTCAATTTTTAATTTTTTTTTCTTCCTCCCCCCCTTCCACTCCCCCCATCCCCCAGATTATAAGCTCATAAGTACTTAATGACTTTTTATTGTTGGCTGCGTTTGTAGTTAAATAAGTTTGTTTGGTTTTGCTTGTCTGGCTTTGTGCAACTGTCAATCTGCAAAGCTCTGTTTAGTAATCTAATTCTTATGCAAACTCCAAGATTAACCTTTTGGCTCGTCTCAGGTGGGTGGCTCATGAGATGTATTTATATGATCTCTCTAGTAACTGAAGCAAGACAGTATGGTTAAGCTACAAATTTTTTGTACACTATTTTCTTGATTCAGATCTCTGTGTTTACAAAGCTTGGTGGTGTGTGAAATAGACAGCGTTTAGGATAGTTGGTTTCCACACTGCACATCAGTTTGGAGTGTGGGTAGACTGGAGAATCCTTTGAAGAACTATCTAGGCAAAGCAGTTTAATTCATATAGAGAAACCATTTTAAGGTTTTAATTTGCATAGACAATGCAAAAGAATCTGATGAATGGGTTATAGTAAATAAATCATTCTTTGTATTTGTTCATGTTTACTGTATCCTTGAGATGTACTTACTAGAAATTATTTGTGAATTTCCTTAGCAGATACAGAGTTTCAAAAGTGATAGAAATTCTACGTTAACTGCAGAGTACAAAATAGTCTGTTTATAAATATCTAGAAAAAGCTAAAAAGAAAAAAAGAGGAAAAAAAAGGTGATTCCCTTCTGTGATGAGAGGAAAAGCCATGTAGTTATAAAAAAAGGGAGTTTTCTGTATCTTAACTTTGGTAATACTGTTCCAGGCTTCCCAAGGCAATTTTTGTGAGGAAAGAACCAAATCACTGTAAAGTGGGTGCCTAATTGTTTTAAATATATCTTTAAGGAGGCAGGTAGTATTACTCCTGGACTGGAAAAGCATATTTTATTGTATCCCACAGAACCTCTCTGTTCTCTGGTTCAGAGCAATTCTGTGGGATAATAGAATGAAGACTGTAGTTGTCACTTTTGTGGATGACAGCCATCTAGGAAAGCTAGGGTAAGACTTTCCAATTAACAGTAAATTTGCTGATATGAAGTTTCAAAGGTTTGCAAATGTGTTTGATGAAGTATTGAAATATTTTTATTTGAAATGGCATTTTTGATATTAAAGGAAACTGAAATGAAGGGCTATCTAACTGAAAAATGAACAGAACATTTAGTTTCATAGTCAAACAAAATATTTGGGTTTTGCTGTTTGGAAAAAAAACCAAAACCAAAACAAAACGCTGAGTGTTCAATTTCAGTTCTCATTAAAAAACTCCAAAACTTTTATAGTGGAAAAAAGTATCAGAATTAATAGATTAAAAATGAAAAGAATGAAATTAATATCTATTTCGGTGCTTGGAAAAAAAGAAATCAAGAGCATGCATAGAAGGTGGGGAATATCTGAACTGTATTCTTCAGCATGACAGTATGGCAGTGATAGGAGTGCTCTTTCACAAAAGAGGTTAAAAAATATGATTATAAGATCTGTGAGTTGTATTTATACAAGACAGAAGATGATCTTTGTCAGATGAGGGTGGTGAGTCCTTGGGTGGAGTACCTCTAACACATGGGCACAGCAGTCTAAGGAAAACAGGTACGTTCGAGGGATTCTAGAGCACAGGTACAGATCATGACTTTGAAATGTGATATGTGAGTATAGATTGAAGTAATACGGAGCTGGCCGATGTTGAAAAGACAGAGGTCATGCAAGTCTCTCAGTATGTTAAAAGCAGTTATAAGGAGGGCAGATTGATTGTTTTCTACGTCCTTCTGCAGAAAAAGGAATAGTTGGCTTACTTGGCAATAAAGATTTGTTACAAATTAATAAAATAATAATCTAGTAGGATACATCTGAAAGTTGTGAAATCATCATTGGAGTTTTTAAGAACATCATCTCTGATGTTGTGAATATTCAGAATTCATGTTGTGTGTTACATAGCTTGTTCAGAGGTTTTAAAAACATTTTAGACAAATACTTGCTATATTTTAATTCTGCTCCAGTGAGGAGATGGACAGGCTTCACACAGACTTCTGAATGGCGAGAGTTCTGCAGCCCTGCAAACACTTGTACATCGTATATGAGTGGGAACGTATGACAGCTTTGTTACACCTGTCAACAGGGATCGAAGACCAGCACAGTGTTTCCGCAATTCCCTGAAGCTGTCTGCATTCACGTTTCATGCTGTGGTGTTTCATTGTGTCACCTGTGCAGCATCATTCCTGTCCTCTTTTTGGGGTGTTTCTATTAAGTGAATAATTAAGACTACAAGGTTCTTAGCACTGTTAAAGAATGTCCAGTTTCTTTGGCTGGAAAGGCTGTAACTAGGTTTTATTCTGTCTGTCCTGACCTCTTATTTACCTCCTCCCTTATTACCCAGGAGACATGGACACCTGAAGAGAAGCTTACCTTTTCTTTCATCTTTGAAAATTGGCCCTGTGTTCATCATGTAATTGTGATGTTAACTATAAAAACATAACCTGAGTTGATTTTTTTCTTTTTTTTTCTCCTTAATATATCTGTAGATCAGATCAGGGAATCAACACCTCTTCCCAATTTGGTGTCATCCGCAAACTTGCTCACGACACCTTCTAGTCCTACATCCAAGTCATTTATGAAAACATTAAAAAGAATTGGCCCTAAAATGGAGCCCTGGGGAACCCCACTAGTGACTGGCCACCAGCCTGATGTAACCCCATTTACCATAACAATTTGGGCCCGACCCGTCAGCCAGTTGCTCACCCATCGCACTATGTTTTTGTCAAACTGTATGCTGAACATTTTGTCCAGAAGGATACTGTGAAAGACAGTATCGAAAGCTTTTCTGAAATCTAAAAAAAGGACATCAACTGGCTTCCCTTGGTCAACTAGATGGGTGACCTTGTCATAAAAGGAAACTAAGTTTGTTAAACAGGCCCTTCCTCTTACGAGCCTGTGTTGGCTGTGACCAATGACTGTGGTGTCCTTCAGGTGTTTTTTGATAACTCCCAGCATAATTTTCTCCATAATTTTACCAGGCACTGAAGTGAGACTGACAGGCCTGTAATTACCAGGGTCTTCTTTCTTGCCCTTCTTGAAGACTGGAACAGGGTTTGCCAGCTTCCAGTCAACTGGGACCTCTCCAGATTCCCAAGACCATTGAAAAATAATTGAGAGAGGTCTCGCAACGACATCAGCCAACTCTCTGAGCACCCTGGGATGAATCCCATTGGGCCCCATGGATTTGTATGCATCCAGGTGGAGCAGCAAGTCCTGCACAAATTCAGGGTCAGCTGGGAGATTATCGTTACCACAGTCACAGCCCTTCAACTCGGGGCGTCTGGGGTCCCAGAGCCCATCATTAGTGTTGAAGACAGAAGCAAAGAATGCATTAAACGTCTCTTGCTTTGTCTATGTCCCTGTTTGTAAGGTGACCATTTTTGTTGAATAATGAGCCAATATTCTCTCTGGTCCTCCTTTTGTTATTAACATATTTAAAAAAGCCCTTTTTATTGTCCCCCACAGTACTGGCCAGCTTCAACTCTAACTGAGCTTTGGCCGCACAAATTTTCTGCCTACAAAGGCGAGCAGCATCCCTGTAGTTCTCCTGCATTGCCTGACCCTGTTTCCAGTGGCCATACACTTTCTTTTTCCGCCTAAGCTCTAG